ACTGTCCCCCCCACACAGATTCCCTCCCCTCAGGCCCTCAGATGTCCCCAAGTTAGGAGCCTCTTGAGGACCCTTTGGCTTGTATCTGCTCTGACCCCTGCCCTTTGGTGGTCCCTGCTCCTGTGGAGTTGTGACAGCCTTGCTCCTTCATGCCCCTCCCCCAGCCCCAGGCCCAAGTGAGGGCTCCCCGCTCTGGGCTGGGCCAGCCTGGAGCTGCCCCCTTGGTCTGACCCTTGCCCACCTTCCAGGCCTCGTCCTTCCCCCTCCATCTGGTGCCTGGAGGCCAGCATCCCCTGCCGCCCCTGAGGATGGGCTGTCTGAGAACACCAGCTCTGCCCGGGGTCGTGCCGATGCTTGGCGTCCTGGCAGGAGGGTCGGTGTGGCTGCTGTTGGATTTTCCTGCTCTTTCTATGGTGGCAACTGGCCAAAGGTCCCCACCTGCTTCGCTGTTTGTCCAGGACACTGATGCGTCCCTCTGGGCTGAGCAAGATTACAGGGGCTGGATTTCTGTGTTGTAGTCGGGGTCCCAGTTCTCCAGGAGGCAGGTCCAGAGGCCAGGTCCAGGGACCTTGGGAAGGGGCGGGGAAGCCTGTCTTTTTGTTGTGTTGGGGGGCGGGCCGGGTGTTGTGGGGTGCCTCCCTGCGAGCTGGCTGCTCCCACCCCTGCAGTCCAGCACAGGACCCTCGGGCGTGCAGAGTGTGTGACTTGGAGGGCAGGTGGCCGGTCAGTGTGCCCCCCTCTCTGCTGGCTGCCCACTTTGGAAACCTCCGTTTAGCACTCTGGGTCTTCAGGATCCCACCAGGACCCCAGAGCTGGGTTTTGCTTGCTGTTTGAGGGCTTTGTGGTTTGTGTGTTTCCGCTCCGGGCAGTTTCAGATCCTTGTGTCAAAGGCAGGTTGTCCGACTTTCACCAGGTTTGCAGGTGCTGCCCCGTCCTCGGTGGGGGCCCTGGGAAGTAGGGAGGTCCCTGAGCTTCAGTTTCCCTCTTAGAAACGGGCCCCCATCCCTGCCCTGCTGTGCCTAGTGCAGAGTGGGCACTCGGCAGTCCCTGAGGGAGCCCCACTTCCCTGGGGGGCATCAGGGGGGCACCGCCGTGGCGTCCCAGCACCGTGACCAGGAGGGTTGGCTGCACAAGGGGAGTGTTGTCTGTGCAGTGAAGAGCTCTCGAGTGGAGTGGCTGCCAGCGGGCGTGTGGTGGGTGCCACACAGGAGCTGCTCCGCCGCGGGAGGCTGGTGGAGAAGTGAGTCGCCCCTGCGTTCGGTGTACTGGCAAACCTGTAGGCCCCCTTTCACAGAGAGGCTGGAGGGTGGGCAGAGACCGCGCCACTCTGGTGGGTGGCCACGTGGGTGATTCCACAGCTGTCTTTGGTGGATTTTAGACCCCACATCTCTTTGCCACTCTGTCTACTACTGATTTTTGGTTCAAGGCTGAACCCTGGGGGAGGGTCAGCTATTGGTCTGTTTTAATTTCTCTCTGGAAGCTGCAATCGTCTTCTTGGTCTTGGAATGTGGCCCTGACCCCCCACCCAGACTAGGGCAGCTGAGGGGACAGCTGCTCTGCGTGGGGGGGGGGGCACACCCTTGCTTTGCGCTGACAAGTGGGCTCTGTTGGGATTTGTTGGGTAGGCTGGGTGATATGGGTGTGGCCGGCTGGACCCCAGGGCTGGCAGGTCTGCTGAGGCCGAGCAGTCCCTCTTAGGGGACATACCCTAGGAGTTCCCCTTTAGGGAACACAATGGGCGGCTGGGCCTGTCCCCACACCCGAGGGCAGCATCCCCAGACCTTGGAGGGAGAGACACAGAGCTCTGAGATGCTGGACTGTCGACCAAGGGCATCCATGGGAACCCCTGACCCTGTGCCTGACTGTGGTTGGTGTTTAAGCATTTTTTCAGAATAGAAAGCCATCAGGTTTTTTTTTTTGCATAGGTAACAACACGTTCTACAAAGAAAATCCGTTTAGAAACGAAGCAAAATGAGAGAAGGCAGCCCCTGGGGGTCAGTGTGCACTGCGGGTGTGGGGTCTGTGGGTGCCCAGGTTCTCATCCTCTCCCTACCTCCTGGTGGGGATCCCCCAGTCGGCCTGCGGGTCTCCTTTCTCTTGTCCACACCTGCGGCGTCTCTGTCTGGTCTGGAGAAGCTTCCAAGGGAAAGGAAAGGCCAGGCTTTCACTATATCCACCTGGCTTTGAGAAGAGATGACTGCATGTGCAGTCCCTTGGATTGGGGGGTACCCGTCTGCCAGACATGTGCCGGGTGGGCACTTTTTGTCTGTGTCCCTCTGAGCCTCATAGACCCTGCTGGGTCAGTCTCCACCCCTTGAAGTAGAGCCGGATGAGGCAGGTTTCACTTCTGGCCGCTGTGGAAGGGCTCCCAGTGGCCTGTAGTGATCACTGGCATCCAGTGAGCATGTATGGGGCCAGGCACCCAGCTCAGGGCTCTTGAGTATGTCTGTTGGGAACCCTTGGTAGTGCCAAGAGGGCACCTGGGCCCTGCTGGTGTGCGGCAGAATTCCGGAAGCCCCTTTGCCCAGCTTACGGCTCCTGCTGAGCCTCTGGGCTGCTGTGCTGCCCCTGGGCATCTACCCCAAGTCAGGGATGCATCCTGTGGTTGTGGCGGGACCTGGCTTCCTGCTCAGCCATAGGTGTGGGGAGGTGCTTGGAAGACAGAGGGAGGCTGAGGGCCAGGCCAAGCCTGCATGAGCCACGCCTATCTGTCCTTGAGCTTGGAGGAGGCCAGTCTTCAGCTTGGCTCGTAGCCTTGGGCCCTCCTGTGGGCCCCGCATCCCCCGCAGCATTTTCAGACCCTGGCTGTATCCTGCCATTTTGCTGGCTCCCCGGGCCATGTAGCAGCTCTAGGTACCCACCTGACCCCTGGGGGTTGACTGCACTGGGAGCAGGTAGGAACACGGCCTGTACTTCCCCACTGTAGCTCCTGGGCCCCTCACGCAGCAGCCGACAGAGCAGGCCTGTGCGGGTCTTGCTATTTATTTGTTCAACACCAGCCTGAGTGCTGTATGACCGACTCCTTCGATCTCAAGCCTCGTGGGGACACTGGGGGACTATATCCCGTGGCTGGTGATGGGCAGAGCTGGGATTGGCACTGGAGGCTGGCTCCAGCAGCCCTGAGATGCCCAGGGTTCTGGGAGGTTCGGCGAGGCCTTGCAGGGGGTGGCCTGAAGGAGGCGTGAGTATGAGTGAGGAGGGCATGGGCCCTGCAGGCCAGCTCAGGGACGGTGCTCTTATGCTGAGGGCCTTGAGTGGGGAGGACAGACCCCCCAGGGAGATTCTAGCAGGAGGCAGTGGCACTTAGACCAGAAGTGGTCGACTCTGGATGAGTTTGGATATGCTGACCTGCTGGCAGTGGGCATGGGGCAGCAAGGTGTTGATGACCCAGGTTTGTGCCAGGCTTGGGCTTTCTGTCATGATGGCAAAGATGCAGCCTCATCACCATCAGCACCAGCTGACCTACCTGCTGAGCCATGGTGCTCACCGGGACAGTACCCTGGGTTGGTGAGGTCCAGGAGCATGAGAGGCGCCAGCTCACTTTGGGAGGGCATGGAGCAGAAGAGCTGGGCTCCCCATGTGACAGGCTAGGCACCTGGTGTATGACCCAGGGCAGGTTTGCTTGGTGGGTGGATGTGCCTGATGGCTTTTTTGAGCCCTTTTCACTATTGGCTGCAGTGAGGAGAGAGTAGGTTGTTAGTCAGTGTTTCACAACCAGCTCTGGGGGATAGCCTTGACTGTGGCATGTGCCAGCGAGCCTGGTGCAGACACTCCACATGGCAGATTGCAGGCTACCAACAGGGTGCCGACCAGCTCTGGAAGTTCTCCGGGTTTCACCGATCTGCTTTCGGGAGTTGTGGGGCGGCTGGTTTCAGTGGTGAGAACGTGTTCTGCTGTGTCCTCCCCAAAAGCCATCTGGCCCTTTATGTGGTGGGCGTTGCCACCAGCCCTGCCCCATCTAAATGTAGTGATTAGTGCCCAGCCGGCGTGGCTCAGCGGTTGAGCATCGACCCTAGGATCCAGGAGATCGAGGTTTAATTCCTGGTCAGGGCACATGCCCGGGTTCCCGGCTTCACCCTCAGTAGGGGACGTGCAGGAGGCAGCCAATCAATGACTCTCTCATCATTAAAGTTTCTGTGTCTCTTCCTCTCCCTTCCTCTCTCTGAAATTAATAAAGACGTTTTAAAAAAAGTGATAAGCATACGCCAAAAGCTAAAGCTTGGCAGCGTACACAGGTGCCTCTGGCCTTCAGGTTCCATGTGCAGCCTCCCATCTGCCTGTCCTGCAGGTGAAAGTGGGGCTCTCTAGTTGGTCTCCTAATGGCATTTGGGCTGTGGTGGTGCTTCCTCCCCACCTCAGCACTTGGGGAACATTCGTGAAAGCTAAAGGGGGGCCGGGGCGAGGTCTGCAGCCGCCCCCCCCACCCATTTACTGAGCATGCAGGGTCAGATCCACCCGTTCCCGCCCTCTGGATTGGCTGCGGCCAGCAGTGTCACAGCCTGGCTGCCATCACAAACCCAGAGCCGGTTCTCGCGGTTACCGTAGAACCTCACTCGCTCGGTGAGCGGCCTCACTCGAGGGTCTACCTGCCAGGCTCGGCTCTGTGGGGTCGACGTAGCTCTCTACCTGTGAATCGTTCACTAAAACCTCGCCATAGCCAACAACAGTGTGGTCAGCCCAGCAGGCAGACAGTGGGCGGGCAGTGAGCCGAGTCTGGTTCTTGGCCCCCACCTGGACGGCAGCCGCCTTCCCACCCTTGTGTTTCCCTGCCTGCCCAGGTGGCACGTGCTCATGTGATCTCTTGTCACTTGTGTCTCTCTGTTCACCTGCTTGAGACCACTAGAGAGTGGTTCTGTGGCAGGTGAGGGTTGGCTTGACCAAGGCAGTTGGCTTTGCTGTGACAACTTGGGTGTGCTGGGGGAGCCCATGGAAGCTGGGTGAGGCAGCTGGGCCTGGGGTCACCGGCCATTCTCTGCTGTCCCTTCTCCCCATAGGTGCTGCCTGGTTGGGCCTGGAAATGGGATGTCGAGCCTCTGCGTGGAGCACAGAGGAAGCGAGGGCCTCCCTGAGCCGCTGCTGTGACGGCCAGTGAGTGAGCCGCCGGAGGATGTCCACCACCACGACGACAGTCACCCCCGCGGGGATGCCTGTGGCCCCAGGCCCTGTGAACCCGCCCCCGCCAGAGGTCTCCAACCCTGCCAAGCCCGGCCGCAAGACCAACCAGCTGCAGTACATGCAGAACGTGGTGGTGAAGACACTCTGGAAACACCAGTTCGCCTGGCCCTTCTACCAGCCCGTGGACGCCATTAAGCTGAACCTGCCCGTGAGTGCCCTCCCGCTGCCCCTGACCCTCTGTTGCCCCAACTCATGGTCGGGCTGCCCGAGTTGGTGGTACCTTGGCATAGCTGGTGCCTAAGATGTGTGGCTGGTGCTGGTATGCCAGGCACAACCCGTGCCTCCGGCAGGGGGACAGCTCAGAGCCCATAGTGACCAAGGAGAAGAAGGGTGTTGGAGAATGGAGGGCAGCTGCCCCCAGGTGCAGGGAGGAGAACCTATTCCTTATGGTGACAGAGGAGGGAAGCAGGAGCAAAGGCTCACACATTCGTACACTGTCCCCCCATATTGTCCTCCACTCAAGATCAGATGCTCAGAGTGGGTCCTGGCCCACTTTCCAGGCATGCCGTCCCAACTGGCACTCAGTGCTGCCTCGACGTCTGATGGATTCTTTGGACCCAAATTGAGAACCCTGAGTGTGTAAGGGGATGCCCTGGACCAGCACTTGGTAGCTGGGTTCTGGACCCAGCTTAGTCCTGGTCACCTGCAGGCCCCCGAGTGAGGTTTGGAATTTGGGCGGGGGCTAGGCCTCCATCTCCAGAGTGGAGACCAGCTCCGGAGCTGCACCTCTGTGCGTCTCTAAGCACCTCCCTCCGTGTAGAACCCTTGTCAAATGGGAGGTTCAGAGCTGGCTGCATACTCGCCCCAGACCACACGCCCACCTGCCCTTGGGTGGCCAGCCATTGCCTTTGGCCCAGACCCATCCCTGCCTCAACCCGGAAGACCTCTCTGTATGCAGTCAGTGCACCTGGGAATTACAGAATAATTATGTTGAATCCGTCAATAACGCCTCTGAAAATCTCTCCTAGGATTATCATAAAATAATAAAAAATCCAATGGATATGGGGACTATTAAGAAGAGACTAGAAAATAATTATTATTGGAGTGCAAGTGAATGTATGCAGGACTTCAACACCATGTTTACAAACTGTTATATTTATAACAAGGTAAGAAGATGCATGTGGCTGGTCCCAGACCAGAATGCCTCTGTGAGCTGCCCACCAGCCCAGGGGAGACCTGGGGGGTGATCTGGGACTGGTCTGGGCACTTTGCCGCAGCTCTTGGATGGGCTCAGCATGTCACACTGTCACACTCAGGCCCCGATCCCCACATGGCGTTCCTCACGCACTGGCTGTCCCAAGAGCCATTGCCTTTGTGGGCCACATCTCTCCTGGAGGAAGTGAGGCCTTTCAGAGGAAGGTGGCGCAGACCAAGCCCTTTAAAACATCTGTACCCTGGGATCTAGACTTTCTCCATGTGGAAATGCCAAAGGAGTCAGTGCAGGCTCACGTAGGTGGGACGTCCTGGCATCTGCACGCACAGCAGTCAGAGATGGCTGAACGTGCTGTGACATCTACACACTGCCCCCCCACATGACAGGGAGCCCTGCACAATGGGGAAATGTCCACGGGGGTTTTCGGGGAGAAAAGCAGATGAGGGAAGTTCCCTGAGACCCCAGCTGCGTGAGGTCCTTGTTTCAATAGTGACTTGAAGATGGACGGGCAGGGTGCTGAGTGTAAGGCCCTCCTTTTGTCCCTGTGACAAGCGAGGGGTGGATTTCAGTCTTCATGGTTTTCTGAGTTCTTTCAAAAGTTTCCACATTAAAGTTTATTTCTTTTGCCTCCCTTCTGCCCTACTAACATCTCTTAACAAGTTTTACTTACTGATTTTAGAGAGAGGAAGGGAGACAGAAACATCGATTTGTTCTTCCACTTATTTATGCATTCATTGGTTGATTCTTGTTTATGCCATGACCAGGGATCGAACCCTCAGCCTTGGCGCACTGGGGTGACGCTCTGACCAACTGAGCTGCCCGGCCAGGGCCTCTTAATGAGTTTTTAATTAAATGTTTCTGAGCTCTGCCAGCTGTGTCCTGCAAGTGCATGGCTCCTTCCCTGGCATGTAACCTCGGCTCTCCCCGTGTCTTCAGCCCACAGATGACATAGTGCTAATGGCCCAAGCCTTAGAGAAAATTTTTCTGCAGAAAGTGGCCCAGATGCCCCAGGAGGAAGTTGAATTATTACCCCCTGCGCCCAAGGGCAAAGGCCGGAAACCGGCTGCGGGAACCCAGAGTGCAGGTAAAAGGGTTGGGTGTGGTCATTCTGTCTGGATGCCCTGGGCGGGTATCTCCTGTGGGTCCCTCAGCCCCTGTGAGCTCAGTTCCCTGTCTGTGAAGCCCAGGTAATAATGACATGAGCTCCAGGGGCCATGTCTCAGCTGTGTGGCCTGTTGGTTGTCTGAGAGACAGTGGCCTTTGGTGGTGGTGTCACACAGTCTGCCTGGAGCACTCTGGGGAGGAGATCGTAGTCTTGCCATGTCCCCATGCTCCTCCTCCCGGTCTTGGCTCTGAGGCTGCCTCTTCTGGAAGCCTGGAGAAATGTCACAGCTGTCCCTTTGTCCCCTCCTAGGACTTTGCCTCTTTAGCACTTACATTCTGTGTGACAGGAGAGGGGCTATGTCACCTGTTGGGAAGCGTGGTGGGGATGAGGTATAGCACTGGGAGCCCTGGGGTCTTACCTGGTCCTGGGACCTGGCACTGAGGTGCATACTGATGGAGAGGCTGGCCAAGGGTGGCCTAAACCTTGAGAGAAGCTGGGCGGGTCGCCAACACTGCTGGCCATGCTGATTTGCAGATGGGGACTGTGGGTGGTTTAGTAGCTCCGTCCAAGTCACTCAGATGGTTATTGAGGGAGTCTGAGTTAACCCCTGATTTCTCGGGCACAGGCCTGCTTCTTACCTGCTGGGTTGCATAGCTTGTCCTGGCTCCCTCTTCAAACTTGGGTCCTGGTCAGAGGTGGGAGGCCTTTTGTTTGGGTGGGCTCCATGGAGGTGGCCATCATCCAGGGCCAGTGGTCTCCAGAGGAGGGGCTCCTCTGGCATCTGGGCCATAAGAGGGGATGGTCCAGGAAGCTTCTGGAAGTATTCCGTTTGCTCTGTCTGCCTGGTGGAGCCTGGTCTGTTCAACCTCCTTTCCTTGTCCTCCAGGTACGCAGCAAGTGGCGGCCGTGTCCTCTGTCTCCCCAGCCACCCCCTTTCAGAACGTCCCTCCCACTGTTTCCCAGACGCCCGTCATTGCTGCCACCCCTGTGCCAACTATCACTGCAAACGTCACATCGGTCCCTGTTCCCCCGGCTGCCGCTCCTCCTCCTCCCGCGACACCCATCATCCCCGTGGTCCCTCCCACGCCTCCCGTCATCAAGGTGAGTGTCCCTGGGGCTTGAGGTTGGTCTTGCGTCTGAGCACCCGTCAGGGTTCCTGGATTGGGGCAGGCAGGAGGGGCCTCTGCCGCTTTCCCTGGCTACCAGGCCAGTGTCGGGTGTTTGGTGCATGTGACTTTTGAATGGGTCCTCGCCATCCCTGTGGGATCGGGACGCTGTTCCTGACGCAGACGGTGCGACTGAGGCTTGGAGCAGGTCACACAGCTGGTGAGGGCAGGCTGCACTTGAACCCCTGCTTCTCTGGCCCTAAAACCCTGGACTTTGCAGCCCATGGGTCCAGGTGGGGAAGATGTGCGAGAGGAACGTGGGAGGGGCCCCGGCCCACCCCACCCCTGTGCACACACTGATTTCCAGCCGTCAGTGTGGGGAGGGTGGTGGCCCTGCTGTGTCCTGAGGAGCTGGCCCCATCCATCACCTCCACCTGCATCTTGCACCCATTAGTGTGAGCACCTGCACATTCGTCTCCCCTCTTGCCTGGGGACTTTTCATGGCAAGGACTGTCCTGGCAGGTCTAGGCTCAGAGTGGGTGATCCTTGCCACATCTGGGCTGGCGGGATTGCCATCCCCCGTTCTGCCCTGAGCAGCCCTGTGCAGGCACTGACGTGTATCGTCTTCTTCGGTTTGACCCTCACAGCGACCCTCTGGGGCAGGCAGTAGTCCCCCATCTTACAGATGAGGAAGCAGGCGCTCAGAGGGGTTAATGGCTTCCCAAAGGTAACATGCCCCCTCCATTGCTTTCCTTCCCCCCTGACCTTCACTGCCTGCACTTCTGGGCGGCCCCTGGCCAGGCTGCCCCACCGTGCCCAGCTGTTTGCCCGGCTGGTTTTAGAGCATGTCCTGTTTGCCATGGCCAGATGAGCCCCCCAGGCCTCTGCAGCACATGCTTGGCATCCCGTGGGTGCCCATTAGGTGTTTGTGGATAGCCAGCTCGTGCCCCTGGCACCCTGGGGCAGCGGCTTGGCTGGGGCAGCAACCCTGATGGCGCTGTAGACAGCAGACCCCTATGAGGCCATTGGCCCAGGCGCTTGTGGCTCTGAGGGGCTCCTTTGCCTGAGCTGAGGTGCGGGGAGTTGGCTGAGTTGGTCTCAGGGACAGGGAACTCTGGCTTTGGAACACGGCCAGTGGTAGTGTCTGGAGAGACCTGTAGGCCTGGGATGCCCTGACATTAGACATGCTCTCACTCACTGGACTCACCCCTGTGAGTGCTTGCCTTGGACATACCCACTGAAGGCTGTGTGGGTCATTTCAGCATTGCCTTCTCTTGTGGAAAGCTCTAGCTGGCTCCCACTGCCTTTAGGGTAAAGTCTAGATACGCCCACTCAGCCCTTGCAATCCTTGGTCCCAAATCTGCTGCTGCTGCCTGTGGCCCCCCCCCCCCC